TTGTTTGATCTGGATCACTCTCTCTGTGTGTTTGTTTGATCTGGATCACTCTGTGTGTGTGTTTGATCTGGATCACTCTCTGTGTGTTTGATCTGGATCACTCTCTCTGTGTGTGTTTGATCTGGATCACTCTCTCTGTGTGTGTTTGATCTGGATCACTCTCTCTGTGTGTGTGTTTGATCTGGATCACTCTCTCTCTCTGTGTTTGATCTGGATCACTGTGTGTGTGTGTTTGATCTGGATCACTCTCTCTCTGTGTGTTTGATCTGGATCACTGTGTGTGTGTGTTTGATCTGGATCACTGTGTGTGTGTGTTTGATCTGGATCACTCTGTGTGTGTGTGTTTGATCTGGATCACTGTGTGTGTGTGTGTTTGATCTGGATCACTGTGTGTGTGTGTGTGTTTGATCTGGATCACTGTGTGTGTGTGTGTGTGTGTGTGTGTGTGTGTTTGATCTGCCCTGATGGGTAAAGATACCTGCCTTTTATTGTAGTTTTATTTTGACACTGGAGACCCTCAAGGACAAGAAGCCAGTGAAGAAGAGGGCTTTATCACCTTTTCTAATACCTTTACCTGATGTCCTTGAGATCAAATTAATTATTATTATTATTGGTATTATTATTGTTATTATTGTTGTTGTTATTATTGTCATTATTGTTATTGTTATTATTATTATTATTATTATTATGTTGTTGTTGTTGTTATTATTGTTATTATTATTAGTAGTATTGTTATTATTATCATTAGTATTATTAGTATTGTTGTGATTGTTATTATTATTAGTATTACTATTATTATTATATTATTATCATTATTATTATTAGTATTGTTATTATTATTCATCCTGGATATTATGTTGTACTTTATAATTTCTATTTATTTACAGAGGGTTTTAATCAACTCTCCTTTAAAATTAACATTTTAGTTTTTGATTTACGGTTTTCAGTATTTATATTTAATTTTATGTTTTCGTGATTATTTTATATGTATCGTAAAACATTATAATTTTTGGGCCATTTTATTTTAGCCTTTTATTGTTCAGGACAGCTGAAGAGAGACAGGAAACGTTGCGAGGAGAGATACAGCAAAGGGCTGGAGCTGGGTTTCGAACTCATGATCGCTGTGATGTACATGGGGAGCACAACATAACCGCTAGGCCATCTGTCACCCCTATCATTTTAGAATTTTACTGTTATTATTATAGGATAAATAATACTTTATTGATCCCCAGAGGGAAAATTCAGGCGTTGCAGCAGCACAGACAAGAAAGCTGAAAATACAAAATACACATTAAACAGAATAGATTAGATAAATAAAAATAAAAACAGGGGGTATATACAAGTACAAAATGAAAGAGGAAGTTAACTATGCAAGGAGTTGAGACAGTATTTGCAGAGAATGACAAGTTAAAGTGACAAGTGATGATTAAAGTGACTCGGTATGATAAATAGCAGCAAGTCATGTAAACAGCAGAGAAGAGAGGCAGTGTTGTACCACAGTAATGCAGAGTGCAGTTATATAATATAAACAATATAGTGTAATATAATGAAATGTTACATAATATAGACTAATATAGAATGTACAGTATATATGTATATATATAGGTGCTAAATAATAACAATAATAATACAATGATAATAATGAAGCAGGTCATGTGGGTAGTGTTTTTATAGATTTATTCTTTCAATCATAACATTATTTTAATGTAGTTTTTTACGACGTTCTTTTTTTTGTGTTTTTATTTTGTGTCTCTTGTTTTTTTTAATCATCCATCTTTATTTCGTTAAATTCTCATTGCTTAGTCTCTAAATAACTTTTACAGACGCCCTTTTGTCGAGCACGTCCCTGCTCCTTTGTGAACTCTAATTGAATTTGTCTGAAAGGGGATTTATCAATAAAGTTTGATTGATTGATTGAAATGTGGCTCTTGTAGCGAGGTGAAATCCTCCGGATCTAAAAGAAAAAGATCAGAGAAAGATACCGGCCGATATATCGAATTATTTATCTTCCTAATATCGGTATCGGACCTAGAAATCCTGTATCGGTCGGGTCCTAATCGATCATCATCTTCATTGTTGTTTCAAACCTTTCGAGTAGTAAAGTGTCATCGTTTTCTGTACGTTTGCTGTGGATAGTCATCAGACTCCAAATGTAATGTTTCTTTATATAATGTTGAAAAAATGAGCAACGCTAACAAGACTCGCCATGTCGTTCTGTAAATACCAAACTAAGACATTTCTTTCTTTGTCTCCATCCTGCTTTCCTGTCTTCATTAAAGATACAAATGACAGGAAAAAAAGACAGGCTGTATTCGTCACAGAGCTGAGTCATCCACAAACGACACCTCCCTGGACGATAGAAACATGGCAACAAAACGAGCAGGATAACAGGGTTACGGCTGAGTGTTGTGGAGTAGTATTTAACATGTCATGGAGGAAAAGATGCGCGCTGATTGGGACCGCAGCGAAGAAGACTGGGCGCTGTGGGATGAGGTAGTAGTTTGTATAGTTTTAGGATCACACCAGATCTGGGAGATAACTATACAGCCTACTGTCTTTCTCACGGCAACCGAACCATCACCTACATGCATGACGGAGACCGCCAGCCTATCCACAGCGTGTGTTCGGTTGCCACGGAGACTGAAGCCCCTGTTGCTGTTAGTGACCAACGGTGGTCCTGAAAATGCATGGTGAGCATTGGCTTCACTTCCCTGGTTAGAATCAGCGTCTATCTGCCCTGATCGTGTCCCCCTCTAGCCATTGGAGGAGAAGTCGCTGCTGCAAGCTTGAAAGAGTTTGCACATCATCATGCTCGTTAACAATTCAGGGAGGAAACTAATCCAGGTCGCTGTTATTTTTCTCTCCAGATGTTTGTAGCTGTGCTGTGGTGAGGTAGTAAGTTGTGTTGTTGTGGGGTGTGGGATATTACAACCCCTGTTTTTGGAGATACAACTATACAACTTACTGCCTTCCACATTATGGCAGAATATCGCACCACGTCCAGCTGTGAGTGTCCTGTCCGATTTGTTTTAAGAATATGTGTTGTGTTAATTTCTTAAAAGTCATGAATGCATGATGAGTTTTTACTCAAAAGTCCTTTATTTAAACTTAAAGGGCTTACCAAATGGCGGGAAATTCTTCTTCAGTTTATTGATAATCTGTTAAAATTAACAGCAGAAATTGTTGCTGCTGAGCTGCTCTCTCTCCTGTGATTTTTTTGTCTAACAGTAATTAAAATAAAAGCACTGGTGTGTTAATAGAGTAATCTATGTTTATGAAATGACATAATTGCTGAAGCTATCAGCTGAAACTCACATCCTAAAAATGAATACATTTACTTTTTACGCGATAGAAAACAGAAAGAAGTGTTGAAGATGGATCACAAGAAAGCAGCTGAATCGGCTTATTTAATTTGTCTTTATGTCCACTCGACTTTTTTGTTTCCCTTATCTATCCAATGTCATTTGGTTGTGCAGTAAATCCTGGTTATATATATTTACTGTGACATTTTGTAGACTGAAAGATCAGAAAAGTAGATTTTTTTTTTAACCCTGTATGTTGCATCTACTTGAGAATAAAGGAGAAATCTAACAACACAATTTTGTTTATGTGCCTTGTTTTATGCCAAGTTGAAACATTTATGGAGAGAAAATCAGATAAAGGCCTTCAACATGAAGACTGTCACAGGGTTGTTAATTGTCTAAATTATTTATAGTTAGTAAAAAACGAGATTGTGCTTCATAAACTACACAAATGAAATCAGCAGCATCGTGTCTGTGTTCTGACTGAAGCAGCATCAGTGGTTCGCCTGAGCTGACCTTGGTGAGCTGCAGGAACGCTGTGATTGGACAGCATCCCTCATACCCCCATGGCCTCCAGGAGGGGGGCGTTCCCTGGAACCTTCACCGATTGGGCAAATCAGAAGGAAGTAGGCGGAGCCGCGACGCTCTTCCGCATCGTACGCTGCATTCTGTGGTAGCGGACAAATCGGAAAAACGAGTTTCCGAGTTGTAAAATGTTCATGAACACCTGCTGAAGTCGAGACAACAACTCGGAACATCGGGAAAGAAATAGGTGCCTGATATAAGGTCGTTTCAGTCCTCACTAAATATATTTAGTTAATGTTAAGATGCGTTTTTATTAATTCATGCATTTCACATCAACTTTTTGCTCAAATGTAACTTGTAACATTCCTCTCATCTTCGTAACATCCACGCTGTGTGTTGCTGTTGTTACAGCATTCAGACTTTCCAAACTGAAAGCAGGTGAACACACTGAAGACTGAGGAACGACTCCCCAAATGGGAAATTTGGACCGTCCGAGGAGTACCTGAATGCCGCATTAGTACCCACGTTGTTACCATAGAGCGTTAAAAAGTGAAGACCTCTCACACTGTCGGAAATTCCGATGCCACTTTTCAGTTTGATAAAATACCAACATTTTAAAAACGTTTACAAAAACCTGAACGTAGTTTAAAGGGAATATTTAAAAAGAAACCAGACAGGAAATTATCGATTTATGTAGTTTTTAATTTTATAAATCTGAAAAGTAATTATTGGGCCAGGTTGCTCCAACACTACAGTAGGAAAGAGAAACAGAAGGAGCATCACATACAAGGCACTTACAAATGACATAAAACGTTTATTGTGTTATAAATTATGTTTTAAGCAACGTGTCCCTTTTATTTGATGATTTACATGCATACCTCATTAAGCAACCCAAATGTTGCCCAACACTATCGAATACACCCCATTTTATTTTACAATACAATTTTAAATGTGTAAATGTTTCTTGTAAATAGCTCATCAAAAAGACACAGGCTGATTCACTTATCAGAAATTGTTTTAAATGTGAAAACTTATATTTGAATACTTTGCTTTTACTGTTCTTACACTTTCATAATAATATTTCTACATGTGTTCCTCCATTGTCCAGGGGGAGGCAGTAATGCACAGTGAGAAATGACAGACGCTGTGAAGGAAATGAACGAAGAAGAAGAAGGACAAAATCCGAGAAGACGTCGAGTGACTCAACTTTTTTTTTCAAATATACGATCTTCGGCGTGACGTCACGGTCTTCTGTCCGGACGAACATGGCGAACATTAGATGCGTCAAGGTGAGCAGAGAAAAATCTAAATACCGTGTCGGCGCTGCGCAGCTTTTCTTTGAACATTTTCCTCCTCGTTCGATGTGACGCGCGAGACTCCTAAGAAGCGTGTCTCGCGCTGTTTGCGAGTTGTTACCCTCGTGCACGTGTACGCTGCTTTTTGTAGTTCAAGAAGTTTCATTGTGTGAAGCTGACATGTTGAGAGGCACACAGCGCCCTCTCTGCGGTGTGTTTGTTCACCTCTGCTCTGTCATTACTCTGACATTGGACCCCTGAGGACCTGCAGCGTTTATATTTAATTGGTCCATTAAAAATCACATAACTAACGTGGTTAGTCCCTTTACTGTTACCCGGCTGTGCAAATACTTGTGGCTTAAAGCATCCTGATGCACACCTTTATTCATGATTAAATATCAGGAGAGGAAAAGAAAAGCTCCTTTTGTTGTAGCTTCATTGTTGATCCGCTTACTGTGAACAACGGGGCCCTTACACAAGTAAAGAGTTTCTGTTGCCTATGCTGCCTTCACGTACTCCTCGGAAATATCGAATTTACCGTATTTGCGAGCACATGAAGGGGCCCACCAATAAAGATAATTTCCTGGTTTCAATTATAAAAAAATGTCAGCCGATGAGGCCTCTGAATATGAGGCGCCTCCTCTTCAACTGAACTATATTTGAACTTGATATTTGATATTTGAACTCCCACATTTGGCATTTTGCTTAATAAATTGCTTAATAGTTGTAGCAGATTGAGTTTTTAATTACAACTTTTAAGATATTAGCAAGTTGGGTCAGAGGATATTTCTCTGGAGTCTTGTTGCGTCTGCATTTTTATCACTCATTTAATCCATTTCTGTACGTCTTTTTCTCTCCTGCCCCCCCCCCCCCTCCTTCTGTGGGGTAGGGTATGGTAGGCCTGGTGACGGGCGGTTCGTCAGGTCTGGGTCGTGCCACCGTTGAACGTCTGGTGCAGAACGGAGCGTCGGCTGTGATCCTGGACCTGCCCTCCTCTGATGGAGCGGCTCTGGCTGAGAAACTGGGGGAGCGCTGTGCCTTCGCTCCTGCAGACGTGAGTCACTTGACACAAGCGTCATCGCCCCCGCTCTCCCGCTCGGAGGAAATGTTCCTGAAAATATCACCTGCTGCATTCACTTATCGGCTCTACTCCACTTTTTGCAAAAAAAATAAAAAACGAGGGTGGCTCGCTGAAATAAATCCAGATAAAGTCGAGGGATGGAAAATTGCGCGATCTGCATTCAAACATGATGCATCTCACCTTTTCAGGCGTTTGATTAGTAGGCGGCATCCATCACGTCATCCAACACTATCACTGCTGACTTTAGCACGTCAAGTTCTTCATGTGACCTTCAATCAGTATTCAATACTAAACTTTCTCTGGTTCTCCGCCTGCATGCAAAACACACAAAAGTGTATCCTTTATTTATACACATATTCTTGGTCCTATCGATCTAACACCTTAGCGGTTTATGTGATGTCTGTAGAAAACCTGCCGTCACTGCCATGTACAGAAGAAGATACATCCTGCTCAGTTCAGACAGCTTTACTCGTTTACTTTTATCTTAAATGCTTTAGCTCAAAATGGAAAACTGCACATCAAACATGTGTCCTGTCAGGTCTGACAGTTATATCACCTCCTCCTGCCTGAGCGCTAATTGCATTTTAGCACAAGAAAGAAGGAGGATGGAGGCCGGCGAGAGCAGGGACACAAGAATCAAGTCAACTTCCTAAGTGTCCTGTTGGCGTTTCCCCAGGTGACATCAGAGGCAGACGTGCAGTCGGCGGTGTCCCTGGCCAGAGAGAAGTTTGGAAAGCTGGACCTCGCGGTGAACTGTGCCGGCATCGCTGTCGCCTTTAAAACCTACAACTTCAAGAAGGACTTACCTCACAGCCTGGAGGACTTCCAGCGCGTTATCAATGTAAGACAGACACACGGATGCAGAGACGTGCAGCATGAAGGGACGCCCGCGGATGTGTGACTCTCTGTGTGCTCCCTACCTTCAGGTGAACATCGCAGGAACCTTCAACGTGATCCGCCTGGCGGTGGGGGAGATGGGAAAGAACGAGCCTGACGCGGACGGACACAGGGGCTGCATCATCAACACGGCCAGCGTGGCAGCTTTTGACGGACAGGTCATAAAATACACACACACACACACACACATCAAAAGAAATGTGTTTTCATGCTGTTCATCAACTATTCTTTTTCTTTGTTCGCTCTCCAGGTCGGCCAGGCGGCGTATTCAGCTTCTAAAGGCGGCATCGTTGGAATGACTCTCCCCATCGCTCGAGATCTGGCACCCATGGGCATCAGGGTCGTCACCATAGCACCTGGTTAGTCTACGTGCTGAAAGTCCAGATTTTTACAGGAGGATTGTCTCTGGCCCCTAAGAGGTGTAAAGTCCTCCGTTAAATACAGTTGTCATGGTTTCGTTTTGAAAGGCGGGATAGCTCGGAGGATGAGGAGGGGCGGAGGGTTTCACCGGCTGTTTGGCGTCTGGAGTGTGTTCTCTGCGTGATCGATCACGTCTCTTAGAAATGTATGATGACTTTGAGTTAAACTTCTGCTTTTGTTTTTCCATCAGCTGAGATCGTTTCATCCGTCCATCTTTAAGAGAGTGCTGTTTAAATGTCTTGTGCTGTAATTGACAATCTCACCACTTGGTGTCACTGTTGTTATTTAACACTAGCTGCAGATGAAGGATGAAGGCTTTTAGTTCATGATGCTTTGTCATTCTTTACAGTTTCCTCACTGTGGATGAACAGTAGTTAATTTTCAGGCTTTTCAATGATCGGTCACAGGAAGTTAAAACGGCACATCTGGAACAAAACTGTCCTCGGCTCCAGCTGTGATCACCTGTGGCCTGCTCTGTGTTTAAATGACTGTCTCTCTCTCCCTCCAGGTCTGTTCTCCACCCCCCTCCTGGCCGGTCTTCCAGAGAAGGTCCGCTCCTTTCTCGCCCGACAGGTGCCCTTCCCCTCGCGCCTGGGAGACCCCGCTGAGTTTGCTCACCTGGTGACGTCACTGGCTGAAAACCCCATGATTAACGGAGAGGTCATCAGACTGGACGGAGCCATTCGCATGCAGCCCTGAGACAGATGCTGTGTGTGTGTGTGTGTGTGTGTGTGTGTGTGTGTGTGTGTGTGTGTGTGTGTGTGTGTGTGTGTGTGTGTGTGTGTGTGTGTGTGTGTGTGTGTGTGTGTGTGTGTGTGTGTGTGTGTGTGTGTGTGTTTTGTGTGTGTCATGTGTGTGTTTGTGTGTGTGTGTGTCTTTCTGGTTGTTAAGGCTGTTTACAGTAAATAAACACTGTAATAGATCAACAAACATTTGATAAAGTTTGTGTAAGAATGTGACTGAGATTGTGTACAAATGAGACTGTATATCATTCAGAGCATTGCAGGACTGTCTGCACTCCACTTTGGTTGTTTTGTAACTAAACCTGATTATAATAAACCTCAGATGGGTTTCATGATCCACTTTGGTTTTTCTTGATTTATTTCTTTGAAAGTTGAACCACAGCCACCACATGGCAGAAAGAGATAAACTATGACAGAGAGAAAACTTAAAAAAGAACACCAAGATATAAGATTTAAGATATCAAAAGAAGGATCTGAATGCATCAAAGGTTTAAATGTATTTAATAACTGAGATACAGTTGTATTAAGAATGAATCTTTGAATACATGACTCATATTTTTTTGTTGAAACAAAAGGAAAGATGACAAAAAGCTGTATTTGTCACAAAGTCAACTTTTTTCAAAATCCATTTCAAACACAGAACCAAACAGAGGAAACCTGTTTCACGAGCGATGGAGGAGCCGGTTCTCAGCGTGTTTGTTTGGGATGATGGAGAAGTTGTGATGTTACAAACTACAAAGTGACCGATCAAGACTCCATCAAAAGTAGGAGGATACATAATCAAGAAAAGAAATCTCAGCTGTTTACATTTGGAAGAAAATCCTCTTGAATAGATTCAACAGATTTACTTGTAAGACAAATGGAACAATCACAGTGAGCTGTGTTTGGCTCAAAGCTACCATTTTGAAAAATCCATTTCAAACCCAGAACCAAACAGAGAAAAGCCTGTTTTACGCCCAAAGGAGAAGCCAGTTCCCAAGAACTTTGCTTCTACACCCGACTTTCCTATTCCAACTCCAGTGTCTGCTGACAGGCCGAGTGTAGCTTTGGTAATACCAGCAGAGGCTGAAGCACTGGCCACTTCTGCTTTGGCCATGGCTCTGAAAGACTCGTCAGTGACTTCAGCCCCTACGCTGGCATTGGGTCCTTTGGCCTCAGCATCGAACATTCTCCATTCAGCACGAGCATGGCCCCATCCTGCACCAGCGTACATCACTCCATCGTCTGTCCTGTCCACCGCAGCAGCATAGCTGTTTTTGGCAGAAGCTTTACCAGGCCGGTCAGTGGTGTCGGTTGGTTTCCCGGTACCAAACTCAAGGCCCTTTTTAACAACTGCATTGGTTGAAAACATAAGACCATGTTATTAAAAAAACATCAGAGACAAATCCCAAAAACAGACAGTACACCCTGACGGTGTTGATACTGTGGATACAACTGGCTGTTATCTCAGGTCCAGTTCACTTTATAATCTTCCTCACGCTGCGGTCCACAGTAAGTATGATTTATTTGTTTCTGAAAATCTTAATGTTGATTTCAGGTCGATGGCATTTCTGTTCAGCTAGATATTCATGTTGTGTATCAAACTTTAACTTTGTAGTTACTTTTTGTTAACTGTAGTTAGTTATTGTTGACTTTAAAAGCTGTGAGCATACCGTTAGCTTTCTGCATTTTATCCACGCCGAGCGGTTAGAAATATCTCCCGTTGCTAGGCAACAGAGACCGTTAGTAGAACCGAGTGGTAGTGATGTGTCCAGGTATTAGTCTGACCTTCAGGCACTAACAGGTAAACGTATCATTCTCATAGATATTTGAAGCACTTATTAGATTTTATTACTTCATGCTTTTCGAGAGGTCAACAAACATGAATTTATCAACTCGACACACAATGTGAAAGAAAAGATGAAAGTTGATTTAGGATACTTACTCTCATCGTCAGAGTCTGCAAGAAAGAAAAGGTACACTTTATTATTTGCTCATTTAGGGAAAGTATTTATTCTTTTAAAGCCCATAAAATGCACAATTCCTCCATTCATTGTTAAAACAATAAAATTATAAATGTGACATTTTAATTTTATTATACACAAGTAAACATAAACTTCACACAGCTGTAAGTTTCACCTCATAGGTCACTGAAGTTAGAGAATAACTTTTTGTAGATTTTTAATGTATGAGTATGAACTTGAGTGATGTTTACTCACCTGACATCTTCAGATCTAAAGAAGTCAGAAATAAAAAGAGGGGGTATGAGATTAAGTAGAACTCAAGTTGAATAATAGTCTTGCAGTGGTTATTGTGTCAAACTGACAGAGAAGTATCAGATAATATCATATAATGTAGGCACATAAAATTAAAACATATTATATTAATCATTGGGATGTCAGAGAAATTCACAAGAATTTCTAATAGCACTGAAACACCCTGCACCTTTACCACACATCTTTACATTTCTGTTTAAAACCTCACATGCTGAATTTCATACCTGAATGTAGTTTCTTGATCCACAGGAGATATCTTGCGCTGCTTGCTCTCAGCTCAACTGCTGGACTGCTTTCATTTATCGGTTTAAATAGTAAGAAGCAGTGACTAAGCCATCAGCACGGTACGGATGGCCAGTGAGACCGCACCCTAAAAAAAAAAAAACATGAAACTAATGGATGGCCATTAATGGATGGCCAGTGAGACCGCGATACATCAACAACAGCTCAGTTACAACGGTCAACAGGAAGGGAGTGTGAACTTATCTGTACTTCTGTACTTCCATCTGAGTTTTGGTGTTATGAGCAACTGTAGCAAACAAAGTATTTCTGATTCTGATTCTGATTAATTCTATGAAGCACCGGTACTCTAAATCATTTTACCTTTTACATTCAGCTTTACGAATAAACGATTACAAAAAAAGAAAACTAGAATAGATAAATAGGCAGAATGAGATCAAATTTAAATCAATGCCTTCGTTAATTATTCATCTATTTTCTATGATGGAAAACTGTAAATATGAACCAAAAGAAATTAGGCCTACTACTACTAGGCTCCCTGATTTCTGACTCTATCCACTGTCTCTAAATGAAGGAAAAAAAAAAAAAAAGATAAACCTTAAAAACCTCCAGCTCATCTGTAAATTATAAGATCGGCTGAGATCAAACAATTGAAAATGGTTTCACCAAACACGATGATCGACTGCTGCTTTGAGCTTCATTGGTGTCAGATTTAATTTGTACCTTTTATTTAAATTGTATATTTTCAGCAACAACTAACTCTAAACCAAACACGACCTCCACACTGACCACAGCGCAGACTGTGAGCGTCAGATCAGGAAGCACTACGACTTCACCACACTCATCTGAGACAACCGAGAAATATGAACAGGGCACATCAGCTTCTGGTTCAGGTACATTAAAAAAATGATAAGTAAAAATATAGTTTAGAGCTGCATAATTTCTTCATTGTGAACTATCAAAATTCAGATTAGTGGACATTTTGAAGTTATTCTCAGACTTTAAGTATTTTTCTTCTCCCTGCAGATTTCTTGTGTAGTTGTTTATGTAAGTTGTTTTTAGTCTGCACATGCTCATACTGTGCTAATGTAAGTACATACACATGTCAAACTTACATTCATTGTTGGACTTGACTTGGAATATCTTTTAAAATGAAGCAGGAAATTAAAAAAAACAATCATGTCCTCAGGCTTTAAGCTGCTTGTGCGTCTGATCCTGGTCTTCATATTTATTGTATCATCAGCAGCTGTGCTGATAGTCTGCAGGAGGAGGACCACAACACCTGAAGGTGAGATGTTAACATCATCTAAAACTCACCACACTCACAAAGTAGCCAGCATCCTGGTCTGATGGAGAAAAACACAACTCAGCTCTCTGAAGGAAAGAGGCTCCACAAAATGCAACAAGTGGTCCTGATCTTCTGAATTATGTTTTTCAGAATCCCATGTGGAACTAGACTACGTAAATATCAACCATGTGAGTGTCTGAGAAGATTGTTGGATAGTGAACTTCATTAAAGATGGTAAAAACATCAGACATCAATACAAACTAAACCCTTCTTTCTTCTTCTTCTGCAGGACGATCAAGAGCATGACGAGATCGGAGAGGAGGACAGACAGAGTGGACTTCCTCCTGTGGAAACATCTACACTTTAAAATTCATGTTGCAGCGAGTCCAGAGCAGAACTATTTTTTTAACACATTTTGGTTGAAAGATAACATCTTCATTGCAGAGCAGAGATAAGATCGTGAATGTGGTTGACAATCTAAAAAAGAAGAAGTTGTTTCCTCTTCTTTAAGTTTAACTTAAAGTTCTCAGAAACCTGTGTGATGAAAACAGGAAACAGGCGATGTTGTGCTCATGTCTGTAAAAAGTGTGTATCTGGACTTTAAACCACAAACTTTGACCTTTTGATGAAGAAGACCCTCAGCTGAATATTTTGTTTTATTCAGTAAGATCATGTTTTTATGTTTTGTGTAATAAGAGGATCTTGAAGTGCACACTGTTGAATTCCTGAAGTTTTGGACACATGTCACTGAATCTCAATGAAACAGAAAACGTTGATGCTAACTTAAGTCCCGTACAGATTGATCATTTTGTCATCAGTGCTCATTTGGAGCTGCACTTGATTCTGTTGCCCCGATAGAAATAAAGATAATAAATAGTTTGGGACAGAATTTCAATTCTGTGGTCATTGTCTGACTAAACTGTGTTGATGATTGATTTGAGATATAGCCAGGGTGTCAAATCCAAGATGGCTGCCGGCGCCATGTTGGAAAATTAACTTTTGAACCTGAGCACCTAGAATCGTGTAAGAAGACACTTTTTTTTGTGTAAGCCAACCATGAGGATTCAGACTCTGACCTCAGTTTGATGTTATGACATCATTTTGACACAGAAATCTAAGAAAGCTGCCGTCCAGTAGAGTGAAAATGTAAGTTTGGAATGGGAAGGTAAGATG